AGACATCCACGGGGTGTTTTACCGACACACGCCTCGCCTGTGCACGACTTTTCAAATAGAGCGCCAAGAGTTGTGCGCCCTTGGTCGTGTGCGTTTCGCCTAGCCCCCTACCTGCAACATGTCACATCTACCTGTTGTATGGCGAGAGAAATGTATGGAAATACTTTCTAATAAGTCTAAAGTACGTTTGCCAGCGATCAGCTAGAACGGGGAACATAAAATAGCTGGTTTATCACACAGTCGCGTCGTTTTTTTTTCATATTTTTAAAGCGTGTCAACAGTGATCAGCTTGCTCACAGCTTTCAAAATACATTTTCCAGCAGCAAGCCAGTGAACTCCTATTGACAGGCGCTCTGTACGATCTAACTCTTTCTCCTTTTCTTATCTGTGTAGGCAAAGAGATGTGAGCCGAGACTTAACACGAACAACATTATAATTTTACATGTATATATTATATATTCATGCTTTGAAAGTAAGAAAGTAAGTAAAATAGTCAATTATCGGTGCACGCAAACACCTTTATGTGGCGAAAAGGACGTACATGCCTTCAGAATAGTTGACGAGTTGGGTGAACTGACAACTGAATATGATCACATGTATAGTGGAAAATTCCTTTCTGTAAAGGTATGTAAGAATACATGGCTGGCAGCTATGTCTTTGAGCAGACATGCATGAGTGGGGCCATTTACAAGGAAATAAAAGTGTATGATTACATCAGATGTGAATGAGGCAAGTGCACCTTATGGTCGAAAAAGAAAAAAAGTGGGAATCGCACAGCAAAAATGTCTACTGCACCCGGTGTTCCCAGGCGGTCACCCATCCAAGTACTCTCCGGGCCCGACGTTGCTTAACTTCGGTGATCGGACGAGAACCGGTGTTTTCAACGTGGTATGGCCGTAGACAATGCTTGTCGGCAAACTTTAGCTACATATAGCCACCACACATTGGTAAACAGACATTGCCATGAAAACAGCATGCTCGCGTTTTCAGCGGGTTCAGTAGACATGTTGTGTTTGTTGATTTATGATGTATATTTACAGGGATTAAAATCTAGCCGTTCTAAAAACATGCGATCACTGTTTAACACGAGGCCCGGCACACTCGCTCACTCGATCCGGCCTTTCGTCTGAAACATTCACTTTTCGTTGATGGATGGTAGCCTATATTGTTCTGGTAAAATTAACATCCAAACGACGAAGACCCCTACTAATATCGTGCTATTAAGACAGGCAAAAAGACTTAATCTGTGACGACCGATCGAGTGATCTAAACACCAATGTATATATGTTACTGTTCGGGGCTTCGCGCCCTAGCTGCTTGTGTCCCGAGATCCTCGTCTTACTAGACTGTTTTCCTGAAAGTAAAATCCCCGTTACTTACTTGTTATGACAAAGTTAGTTTCAACTCTAATTGAAGTGACCAAAATTATGTCTCCAGAAATATAGTGTCAAATGTTTTCTGTTGCAAAATGGCGAAGTCGTCAGAAAAACGTGCTTCATTGTCGTTGTTTGAAAGCTTGTTCTAGCTTATCATAGGCAATACTGATGAGTGTTGTGTTTTACTTTCATAGTTAGATATATTGAGAATTGACAGGCAACGTTTAAAATGCATAAACTTGAGTCTCAAGGCTAAAAATGTGCTTTTGAAAGTAGCGATGTCTACATTTTAGACTGGGTCGCTTCATTGGAAACAGCACGTGTGGCTTTGAACTTCACCCGTGAGCGTTGCTATTGTAACCGAAATGTAGCCAAATGTTTTTACTACCTAACTGTATTGTTGAAATTGAAACTTTCCTTGATTAAGAAGTGATTATTCGGATACAAATACACGAAAAAGCACACGCGCTTGTAAGCGTGCAGCTATCAGCCACAACAAGCAGGGTGTCTCCTCCGACGTCCGCGCCTCCGGAGTATCAGCCGGGCTGTCTATGGGGAAGTGTCATTCGCTCTCTGTGCTTCTCTCGTAGCTGACGTGAATTTTTACCACTCAAACTTACCACTATGGCTGATGCTGCTGCTGCCCCCGCTGTTGTCAAGACTCCCAAGAAGAAGGCTGCTGCCAAGCCTTCAGAAGGCTGCCGCACATCCTACCTATTTGGAGATGATCAAGAAAGCTATTTCAACCCTGAAGGAGAGGGGTGGTTCTTCCCGACAGGCTGTTCTGAAATACATCTTGGCCAACTACAAGGTTGGTGACAACCAGGTGGCCATCAATGCTCGCATCAAGACTGCTTTGAAAAATGGAGTCAAGAACGGCGCACTGAAGCAATCAAAGGGAACTGGAGCCGCTGGATCATTCCGTCTTGGCGAGGCAAAGAAAGACGAAAAACCCAAGAAGGCTAAGGCAGCTGCCAAACCAAAGAAGGCTGCCAAATCCCCCAAGAAAGTCAAGAAGCCAGCTGCTGCCAAGAAACCCAAAACAGCCGCTAAGAAGGCCGCTAAGTCACCAAAGAAGGTGAAGGCTGCAGCCAAGCCCAAGAAGGCGAAGACACCCAAGAAGGCAGCAGCCAAACCCAAGAAGGTCAAGACCCCCAAGAAGAAGGCAGTCAAGCCAAAGAAGGCTTAAGCTCTCATTGTCACGCCTTCGCTCCACATTTCTGTGGTCCAAAGGCCCTTTTCAGGGCCATCCAAATACCCCAAAAGAAAACTTGAAAACACTGATAACAAAACAATAAATATGTATATTAGCAGTAATAAAGTGCAGGTTCTCGTGATAACAGAGATAACGTGGCAGCAACACCCACCACGCACATAACACACATAGGTGATGTTGATAAAGGTATGTCAGGGATTTTATTGTGTGTGTGTGGGGGGGTGGGGTAGTGTGTCTTCACACTAATGACTGTTGTTATGCTTGTTTATTAACCCCCCAAATGGGTGTATGTTGGAAAGTGAGGCGATTAGTGTCGTTGATATATATAATATCCTGAGTGCAGACTTCCTATGTGTGTAGCTGCACATGCACGTTGTGTTCAAAGGTGTAAAACGGCGATAAAGGCCAGACATCCACGGTGTGTTTTACCGACACACGCCTCGCCTGTGCACGACTTTTCAAATAGAGCGCCAAGAGTTGTGCGCCCTTGGTCGTGTGCGTTTCGCCTAGCCCCCTACCTGCAACATGTCACATCTACCTGTTGTATGGCGAGAGAAATGTATGGAAATACTTTCTAATAAGTCTAAAGTACGTTTGCCAGCGATCAGCTAGAACGGGGAACATAAAATAGCTGGTTTATCACACAGTCGCGTCGTTTTTTTTCTCATATTTTTAAAGCGTGTCAACAGTGATCAGCTTGCTCACAGCTTTCAAAATACATTTTCCAGCAGCAAGCCAGTGAACTCCTATTGACAGGCGCTCTGTACGATCTAACTCTTTCTCCTTTTCTTATCTGTGTAGGCAAAGAGATGTGAGCCGAGACTTAACACGAACAACATTATAATTTTACATGTATATATTATATATTCATGCTTTGAAAGTAAGAAAGTAAGTAAAATAGTCAATTATCGGTGCACGCAAACACCTTTATGTGGCGAAAAGGACGTACATGCCTTCAGAATAGTTGACGAGTTGGGTGAACTGACAACTGAATATGATCACATGTATAGTGGAAAATTCCTTTCTGTAAAGGTATGTAAGAATACATGGCTGGCAGCTATGTCTTTGAGCAGACATGCATGAGTGGGGCCATTTACAAGGAAATAAAAGTGTATGATTACATCAGATGTGAATGAGGCAAGTGCACCTTATGGTCGAAAAAGAAAAAAAGTGGGAATCGCACAGCAAAAATGTCTACTGCACCCGGTGTTCCCAGGCGGTCACCCATCCAAGTACTCTCCGGGCCCGACGTTGCTTAACTTCGGTGATCGGACGAGAACCGGTGTTTTCAACGTGGTATGGCCGTAGACAGTGCTTGTCGGCAAACTTTAGCTACATATAGCCACCACACATTGGTAAACAGACATTGCCATGAAAACAGCATGCTCGCGTTTTCAGCGGGTTCAGTAGACATGTTGTGTTTGTTGATTTATGATGTATATTTACAGGGATTAAAATCTAGCCGTTCTAAAAACATGCGATCACTGTTTAACACGAGGCCCGGCACACTCGCTCACTCGATCCGGCCTTTCGTCTGAAACATTCACTTTTCGTTGATGGATGGTAGCCTATATTGTTCTGGTAAAATTAACATCCAAACGACGAAGACCCCTACTAATATCGTGCTATTAAGACAGGCAAAAAGACTTAATCTGTGACGACCGATCGAGTGATCTAAACACCAATGTATATATGTTACTGTTCGGGGCTTCGCGCCCTAGCTGCTTGTGTCCCGAGATCCTCGTCTTACTAGACTGTTTTCCTGAAAGTAAAATCCCCGTTACTTACTTGTTATGACAAAGTTAGTTTCAACTCTAATTGAAGTGACCAAAATTATGTCTCCAGAAATATAGTGTCAAATGTTTTCTGTTGCAAAATGGCGAAGTCGTCAGAAAAACGTGCTTCATTGTCGTTGTTTGAAAGCTTGTTCTAGCTTATCATAGGCAATACTGATGAGTGTTGTGTTTTACTTTCATAGTTAGATATATTGAGAATTGACAGGCAACGTTTAAAATGCATAAACTTGAGTCTCAAGGCTAAAAATGTGCTTTTGAAAGTAGCGATGTCTACATTTTAGACTGGGTCGCTTCATTGGAAACAGCACGTGTGGCTTTGAACTTCACCCGTGAGCGTTGCTATTGTAACCGAAATGTAGCCAAATGTTTTTACTACCTAACTGTATTGTTGAAATTGAAACTTTCCTTGATTAAGAAGTGATTATTCGGATACAAATACACGAAAAAGCACACGCGCTTGTAAGCGTGCAGCTATCAGCCACAACAAGCAGGGTGTCTCCTCCGACGTCCGCGCCTCCGGAGTATCAGCCGGGCTGTCTGTGGGGAAGTGTCATTCGCTCTCTGTGCTTCTCTCGTAGCTGACGTGAATTTTTACCACTCAAACTTACCACTATGGCTGATGCTGCTGCTGCCCCCGCTGTTGTCAAGACTCCCAAGAAGAAGGCTGCTGCCAAGCCTAAGAAGGCTGCCGCACATCCTACCTATTTGGAGATGATCAAGAAAGCTATTTCAACCCTGAAGGAGAGGGGTGGTTCTTCCCGACAGGCTGTTCTGAAATACATCTTGGCCAACTACAAGGTTGGTGACAACCAGGTGGCCATCAATGCTCGCATCAAGACTGCTTTGAAAAATGGAGTCAAGAACGGCGCACTGAAGCAATCAAAGGGAACTGGAGCCGCTGGATCATTCCGTCTTGGCGAGGCAAAGAAAGACGAAAAACCCAAGAAGGCTAAGGCAGCTGCCAAACCAAAGAAGGCTGCCAAATCCCCCAAGAAAGTCAAGAAGCCAGCTGCTGCCAAGAAACCCAAAACAGCCGCTAAGAAGGCCGCTAAGTCACCAAAGAAGGTGAAGGCTGCAGCCAAGCCCAAGAAGGCGAAGACACCCAAGAAGGCAGCAGCCAAACCCAAGAAGGTCAAGACCCCCAAGAAGAAGGCAGTCAAGCCAAAGAAGGCTTAAGCTCTCATTGTCACGCCTTCGCTCCACATTTCTGTGGTCCAAAGGCCCTTTTCAGGGCCATCCAAATACCCCAAAAGAAAACTTGAAAACACTGATAACAAAACAATAAATATGTATATTAGCAGTAATAAAGTGCAGGTTCTCGTGATAACAGAGATAACGTGGCAGCAACACCCACCACGCACATAACACACATAGGTGATGTTGATAAAGGTATGTCAGGGATTTTATTGTGTGTGTGTGGGGGGGTGGGGTAGTGTGTCTTCACACTAATGACTGTTGTTATGCTTGTTTATTAACCCCCCAAATGGGTGTATGTTGGAAAGTGAGGCGATTAGTGTCGTTGATATATATAATATCCTGAGTGCAGACTTCCTATGTGTGTAGCTGCACATGCACGTTGTGTTCAAAGGTGTAAAACGGCGATAAAGGCCAGACATCCACGGTGTGTTTTACCGACACACGCCTCGCCTGTGCACGACTTTTCAAATAGAGCGCCAAGAGTTGTGCGCCCTTGGTCGTGTGCGTTTCGCCTAGCCCCCTACCTGCAACATGTCACATCTACCTGTTGTATGGCGAGAGAAATGTATGGAAATACTTTCTAATAAGTCTAAAGTACGTTTGCCAGCGATCAGCTAGAACGGGGAACATAAAATAGCTGGTTTATCACACAGTCGCGTCGTTTTTTTTCTCATATTTTTAAAGCGTGTCAACAGTGATCAGCTTGCTCACAGCTTTCAAAATACATTTTCCAGCAGCAAGCCAGTGAACTCCTATTGACAGGCGCTCTGTACGATCTAACTCTTTCTCCTTTTCTTATCTGTGTAGGCAAAGAGATGTGAGCCGAGACTTAACACGAACAACATTATAATTTTACATGTATATATTATATATTCATGCTTTGAAAGTAAGAAAGTAAGTAAAATAGTCAATTATCGGTGCACGCAAACACCTTTATGTGGCGAAAAGGACGTACATGCCTTCAGAATAGTTGACGAGTTGGGTGAACTGACAACTGAATATGATCACATGTATAGTGGAAAATTCCTTTCTGTAAAGGTATGTAAGAATACATGGCTGGCAGCTATGTCTTTGAGCAGACATGCATGAGTGGGGCCATTTACAAGGAAATAAAAGTGTATGATTACATCAGATGTGAATGAGGCAAGTGCACCTTATGGTCGAAAAAGAAAAAAAGTGGGAATCGCACAGCAAAAATGTCTACTGCACCCGGTGTTCCCAGGCGGTCACCCATCCAAGTACTCTCCGGGCCCGACGTTGCTTAACTTCGGTGATCGGACGAGAACCGGTGTTTTCAACGTGGTATGGCCGTAGACAGTGCTTGTCGGCAAACTTTAGCTACATATAGCCACCACACATTGGTAAACAGACATTGCCATGAAAACAGCATGCTCGCGTTTTCAGCGGGTTCAGTAGACATGTTGTGTTTGTTGATTTATGATGTATATTTACAGGGATTAAAATCTAGCCGTTCTAAAAACATGCGATCACTGTTTAACACGAGGCCCGGCACACTCGCTCACTCGATCCGGCCTTTCGTCTGAAACATTCACTTTTCGTTGATGGATGGTAGCCTATATTGTTCTGGTAAAATTAACATCCAAACGACGAAGACCCCTACTAATATCGTGCTATTAAGACAGGCAAAAAGACTTAATCTGTGACGACCGATCGAGTGATCTAAACACCAATGTATATATGTTACTGTTCGGGGCTTCGCGCCCTAGCTGCTTGTGTCCCGAGATCCTCGTCTTACTAGACTGTTTTCCTGAAAGTAAAATCCCCGTTACTTACTTGTTATGACAAAGTTAGTTTCAACTCTAATTGAAGTGACCAAAATTATGTCTCCAGAAATATAGTGTCAAATGTTTTCTGTTGCAAAATGGCGAAGTCGTCAGAAAAACGTGCTTCATTGTCGTTGTTTGAAAGCTTGTTCTAGCTTATCATAGGCAATACTGATGAGTGTTGTGTTTTACTTTCATAGTTAGATATATTGAGAATTGACAGGCAACGTTTAAAATGCATAAACTTGAGTCTCAAGGCTAAAAATGTGCTTTTGAAAGTAGCGATGTCTACATTTTAGACTGGGTCGCTTCATTGGAAACAGCACGTGTGGCTTTGAACTTCACCCGTGAGCGTTGCTATTGTAACCGAAATGTAGCCAAATGTTTTTACTACCTAACTGTATTGTTGAAATTGAAACTTTCCTTGATTAAGAAGTGATTATTCGGATACAAATACACGAAAAAGCACACGCGCTTGTAAGCGTGCAGCTATCAGCCACAACAAGCAGGGTGTCTCCTCCGACGTCCGCGCCTCCGGAGTATCAGCCGGGCTGTCTGTGGGGAAGTGTCATTCGCTCTCTGTGCTTCTCTCGTAGCTGACGTGAATTTTTACCACTCAAACTTACCACTATGGCTGATGCTGCTGCTGCCCCCGCTGTTGTCAAGACTCCCAAGAAGAAGGCTGCTGCCAAGCCTAAGAAGGCTGCCGCACATCCTACCTATTTGGAGATGATCAAGAAAGCTATTTCAACCCTGAAGGAGAGGGGTGGTTCTTCCCGACAGGCTGTTCTGAAATACATCTTGGCCAACTACAAGGTTGGTGACAACCAGGTGGCCATCAATGCTCGCATCAAGACTGCTTTGAAAAATGGAGTCAAGAACGGCGCACTGAAGCAATCAAAGGGAACTGGAGCCGCTGGATCATTCCGTCTTGGCGAGGCAAAGAAAGACGAAAAACCCAAGAAGGCTAAGGCAGCTGCCAAACCAAAGAAGGCTGCCAAATCCCCCAAGAAAGTCAAGAAGCCAGCTGCTGCCAAGAAACCCAAAACAGCCGCTAAGAAGGCCGCTAAGTCACCAAAGAAGGTGAAGGCTGCAGCCAAGCCCAAGAAGGCGAAGACACCCAAGAAGGCAGCAGCCAAACCCAAGAAGGTCAAGACCCCCAAGAAGAAGGCAGTCAAGCCAAAGAAGGCTTAAGCTCTCATTGTCACGCCTTCGCTCCACATTTCTGTGGTCCAAAGGCCCTTTTCAGGGCCATCCAAATACCCCAAAAGAAAACTTGAAAACACTGATAACAAAACAATAAATATGTATATTAGCAGTAATAAAGTGCAGGTTCTCGTGATAACAGAGATAACGTGGCAGCAACACCCACCACGCACATAACACACATAGGTGATGTTGATAAAGGTATGTCAGGGATTTTATTGTGTGTGGGGGGGGGGGGGGGGGGGATGGGGGGGTGGGGTAGTGTGTCTTCACACTAATGACTGTTGTTATGCTTGTTTATTAACCCCCCAAATGGGTGTATGTTGGAAAGTGAGGCGATTAGTGTCGTTGATATATATAATATCCTGAGTGCAGACTTCCTATGTGTGTAGCTGCACATGCACGTTGTGTTCAAAGGTGTAAAACGGCGATAAAGGCCAGACATCCACGGGGTGTTTTACCGACACACGCCTCGCCTGTGCACGACTTTTCAAATAGAGCGCCAAGAGTTGTGCGCCCTTGGTCGTGTGCGTTTCGCCTAGCCCCCTACCTGCAACATGTCACATCTACCTGTTGTATGGCGAGAGAAATGTATGGAAATACTTTCTAATAAGTCTAAAGTACGTTTGCCAGCGATCAGCTAGAACGGGGAACATAAAATAGCTGGTTTATCACACAGTCGCGTCGTTTTTTTTTCATATTTTTAAAGCGTGTCAACAGTGATCAGCTTGCTCACAGCTTTCAAAATACATTTTCCAGCAGCAAGCCAGTGAACTCCTATTGACAGGCGCTCTGTACGATCTAACTCTTTCTCCTTTTCTTATCTGTGTAGGCAAAGAGATGTGAGCCGAGACTTAACACGAACAACATTATAATTTTACATGTATATATTATATATTCATGCTTTGAAAGTAAGAAAGTAAGTAAAATAGTCAATTATCGGTGCACGCAAACACCTTTATGTGGCGAAAAGGACGTACATGCCTTCAGAATAGTTGACGAGTTGGGTGAACTGACAACTGAATATGATCACATGTATAGTGGAAAATTCCTTTCTGTAAAGGTATGTAAGAATACATGGCTGGCAGCTATGTCTTTGAGCAGACATGCATGAGTGGGGCCATTTACAAGGAAATAAAAGTGTATGATTACATCAGATGTGAATGAGGCAAGTGCACCTTATGGTCGAAAAAGAAAAAAAGTGGGAATCGCACAGCAAAAATGTCTACTGCACCCGGTGTTCCCAGGCGGTCACCCATCCAAGTACTCTCCGGGCCCGACGTTGCTTAACTTCGGTGATCGGACGAGAACCGGTGTTTTCAACGTGGTATGGCCGTAGACAATGCTTGTCGGCAAACTTTAGCTACATATAGCCACCACACATTGGTAAACAGACATTGCCATGAAAACAGCATGCTCGCGTTTTCAGCGGGTTCAGTAGACATGTTGTGTTTGTTGATTTATGATGTATATTTACAGGGATTAAAATCTAGCCGTTCTAAAAACATGCGATCACTGTTTAACACGAGGCCCGGCACACTCGCTCACTCGATCCGGCCTTTCGTCTGAAACATTCACTTTTCGTTGATGGATGGTAGCCTATATTGTTCTGGTAAAATTAACATCCAAACGACGAAGACCCCTACTAATATCGTGCTATTAAGACAGGCAAAAAGACTTAATCTGTGACGACCGATCGAGTGATCTAAACACCAATGTATATATGTTACTGTTCGGGGCTTCGCGCCCTAGCTGCTTGTGTCCCGAGATCCTCGTCTTACTAGACTGTTTTCCTGAAAGTAAAATCCCCGTTACTTACTTGTTATGACAAAGTTAGTTTCAACTCTAATTGAAGTGACCAAAATTATGTCTCCAGAAATATAGTGTCAAATGTTTTCTGTTGCAAAATGGCGAAGTCGTCAGAAAAACGTGCTTCATTGTCGTTGTTTGAAAGCTTGTTCTAGCTTATCATAGGCAATACTGATGAGTGTTGTGTTTTACTTTCATAGTTAGATATATTGAGAATTGACAGGCAACGTTTAAAATGCATAAACTTGAGTCTCAAGGCTAAAAATGTGCTTTTGAAAGTAGCGATGTCTACATTTTAGACTGGGTCGCTTCATTGGAAACAGCACGTGTGGCTTTGAACTTCACCCGTGAGCGTTGCTATTGTAACCGAAATGTAGCCAAATGTTTTTACTACCTAACTGTATTGTTGAAATTGAAACTTTCCTTGATTAAGAAGTGATTATTCGGATACAAATACACGAAAAAGCACACGCGCTTGTAAGCGTGCAGCTATCAGCCACAACAAGCAGGGTGTCTCCTCCGACGTCCGCGCCTCCGGAGTATCAGCCGGGCTGTCTGTGGGGAAGTGTCATTCGCTCTCTGTGCTTCTCTCGTAGCTGACGTGAATTTCTACCACTCAAACTTACCACTATGGCTGATGCTGCTGCTGCCCCCGCTGTTGTCAAGACTCCCAAGAAGAAGGCTGCTGCCAAGCCTAAGAAGGCTGCCGCACATCCTACCTATTTGGAGATGATCAAGAAAGCTATTTCAACCCTGAAGGAGAGGGGTGGTTCTTCCCGACAGGCTGTTCTGAAATACATCTTGGCCAACTACAAGGTTGGTGACAACCAGGTGGCCATCAATGCTCGCATCAAGACTGCTTTGAAAAATGGAGTCAAGAACGGCGCACTGAAGCAATCAAAGGGAACTGGAGCCGCTGGATCATTCCGTCTTGGCGAGGCAAAGAAAGACGAAAAACCCAAGAAGGCTAAGGCAGCTGCCAAACCAAAGAAGGCTGCCAAATCCCCCAAGAAAGTCAAGAAGCCAGCTGCTGCCAAGAAACCCAAAACAGCCGCTAAGAAGGCCGCTAAGTCACCAAAGAAGGTGAAGGCTGCAGCCAAGCCCAAGAAGGCGAAGACACCCAAGAAGGCAGCAGCCAAACCCAAGAAGGTCAAGACCCCCAAGAAGAAGGCAGTCAAGCCAAAGAAGGCTTAAGCTCTCATTGTCACGCCTTCGCTCCACATTTCTGTGGTCCAAAGGCCCTTTTCAGGGCCATCCAAATACCCCAAAAGAAAACTTGAAAACACTGATAACAAAACAATAAATATGTATATTAGCAGTAATAAAGTGCAGGTTCTCGTGATAACAGAGATAACGTGGCAGCAACACCCACCACGCACATAACACACATAGGTGATGTTGATAAAGGTATGTCAGGGATTTTATTGTGTGTGGGGGGGGGGGGGGGGGGGGATGGGGGGGTGGGGTAGTGTGTCTTCACACTAATGACTGTTGTTATGCTTGTTTATTAACCCCCCAAATGGGTGTATGTTGGAAAGTGAGGCGATTAGTGTCGTTGATATATATAATATCCTGAGTGCAGACTTCCTATGTGTGTAGCTGCACATGCACGTTGTGTTCAAAGGTGTAAAACGGCGATAAAGGCCAGACATCCACGGGGTGTTTTACCGACACACGCCTCGCCTGTGCACGACTTTTCAAATAGAGCGCCAAGAGTTGTGCGCCCTTGGTCGTGTGCGTTTCGCCTAGCCCCCTACCTGCAACATGTCACATCTACCTGTTGTATGGCGAGAGAAATGTATGGAAATACTTTCTAATAAGTCTAAAGTACGTTTGCCAGCGATCAGCTAGAACGGGGAACATAAAATAGCTGGTTTATCACACAGTCGCGTCGTTTTTTTTTCATATTTTTAAAGCGTGTCAACAGTGATCAGCTTGCTCACAGCTTTCAAAATACATTTTCCAGCAGCAAGCCAGTGAACTCCTATTGACAGGCGCTCTGTACGATCTAACTCTTTCTCCTTTTCTTATCTGTGTAGGCAAAGAGATGTGAGCCGAGACTTAACACGAACAACATTATAATTTTACATGTATATATTATATATTCATGCTTTGAAAGTAAGAAAGTAAGTAAAATAGTCAATTATCGGTGCACGCAAACACCTTTATGTGGCGAAAAGGACGTACATGCCTTCAGAATAGTTGACGAGTTGGGTGAACTGACAACTGAATATGATCACATGTATAGTGGAAAATTCCTTTCTGTAAAGGTATGTAAGAATACATGGCTGGCAGCTATGTCTTTGAGCAGACATGCATGAGTGGGGCCATTTACAAGGAAATAAAAGTGTATGATTACATCAGATGTGAATGAGGCAAGTGCACCTTATGGTCGAAAAAGAAAAAAAGTGGGAATCGCACAGCAAAAATGTCTACTGCACCCGGTGTTCCCAGGCGGTCACCCATCCAAGTACTCTCCGGGCCCGACGTTGCTTAACTTCGGTGATCGGACGAGAACCGGTGTTTTCAACGTGGTATGGCCGTAGACAATGCTAGTCGGCAAACTTTAGCTACATATAGCCACCACACATTGGTAAACAGACATTGCCATGAAAACAGCATGCTCGCGTTTTCAGCGGGTTCAGTAGACATGTTGTGTTTGTTGATTTATGATGTATATTTACAGGGATTAAAATCTAGCCGTTCTAAAAACATGCGATCACTGTTTAACACGAGGCCCGGCACACTCGCTCACTCGATCCGGCCTTTCGTCTGAAACATTCACTTTTCGTTGATGGATGGTAGCCTATATTGTTCTGGTAAAATTAACATCCAAACGACGAAGACCCCTACTAATATCGTGCTATTAAGACAGGCAAAAAGACTTAATCTGTGACGACCGATCGAGTGATCTAAACACCAATGTATATATGTTACTGTTCGGGGCTTCGCGCCCTAGCTGCTTGTGTCCCGAGATCCTCGTCTTACTAGACTGTTTTCCTGAAAGTAAAATCCCCGTTACTTACTTGTTATGACAAAGTTAGTTTCAACTCTAATTGAAGTGACCAAAATTATGTCTCCAGAAATATAGTGTCAAATGTTTTCTGTTGCAAAATGGC